TATATATATATATATATATATATATATAAAGATGGACTATAACATGTGTCTGTCTACCCCACATGTGCTAATTCGACCTAGATAAATTCGAACCCGAGACAGAGGAGACTTACGTTGAAGTTGTCAACCAACAAGCCACCAATTGCACATATACATATATATCGTTTAATTTATTTATAGCCGCCCTAGTGGCACTAAGAATGTCTGTAATAATTTGAATTATTAGATGCTCTTCAATCTGTTCTATAACTTGATCAAGAAGTCCATAAAATATAGTTTTAATTATTTACATAATATGATGCTTCAATAGAATTTAAAAAAATATCACACAAAAATTATTGATCAAGCTTTTATTCTTAATGTCAAACCTGCGATTAAAGATAATAGTAACTCCATCTATTTTGACGTTCTCTTAGTCTTCACACTAACTTTCTAAGTGTTACAATTTCAATATTCAAGTTTTCTAGCTCATACATGGATAGTAGTTTTGTTTCAATCACAAAAACCTACAAAATGTATCAAGCTTCTATTCTTAATGTCAAACCAGCGATTAAAGATAATAGTAACTCCATCTATTTTGACGTTCTCTTAGTCTTCACGCTAACTTTCTAAGTGTACAATTTCAATATTCAAGTTTTCTAGCTCATATATGGATAGTAGTTTTGTTTCAATCACAAAAACCTACAAAATGTATAATATTAAGATAAGGAGTTGCCACATTAAATGGAATGAAATTTTCATAAAATAAACTTTTAAGATTCAGACAAACATTCTTGCAAGTTTCTATAATATTTTCAAAAGACATCCGATGGCCTACTCTTGTGACATGATCATTCTCATTTTCCACATTTATCATGCATTGGTCCATAGGTCCTCTTGCAGTTCTACTTAGAATTTATGAGAAAAATATGAGGAATCTTTGCCACTGGGAAAAATAAAAGTTTATAAATACCTGACCATCAGCAATTATCAATAAAACATGGTACTGCCCACCACTGTCTTCTACAATGGTCATTGCCATTTCAATTATTGGGGCAAAAGATGTCGGCCCTTGAAACAAAAGTATAAGGTTAAAATAATTCATGACAAATCATCATAAAGTTTTAAAAAAATTAAAAAAAAAAAAAAAAAAAGACTTATAGCTACCAGCCAACCGCAAGTGTGGCACAATTTCTCGATATCTCGAAAGAGCTTCGGCGAACCCGTTACATGGTCTCTCGTCCGGATAAAAGCTAAAGATATCTTGGTCATGCGTTGACGCTGTAAACATAAATCCATAATTGAAAAATTATTATAAATGCCTCATAAATGGAAGTTTAACAATTAAAAAATTAATGAAATTTCACCATCTCCAAACCCAAAGCATGGAATCAAGTTATCTTCATCAAATTTAGACAATGTCTTTCCAATTATAGAGATTGCTTGCTCATAGGGATTGGGTCTATCACTGATGTGATGCAAACTGCGGCGGTTAAATGAGTGCTTACCTATCCATTAAATCAAGCCAGATAAATTTCAGAGGTTATAACAATAAATTATGATTTTCAAATTCTTACCTGTCCACTCATTACTTTTGGTGAAGTCAATACCAACAATAAGATTAGAAGACTCAAGACCAGCTTGAGCAAGAGCTTCAGTAACCTTCATAAATGAAATGAAGTTCAATTACGAGAATGTTGTGTATAAGCTGCAGTAAAATAAAGCTGATCCAAAAAGTGTGCCCACTAAAGTTTGTAGACTTCTCTTGAAAATTTCACAGAAGAAATATTACAATACAGATTAATCAAGGAAAAAAAAAACAATAGATCTCCGGATGTGGTAGATATCAACACTACAATTTATCATAAGAATATAATGTTTGACAAGCTAAAAGTTTGGTCTTTCAGAGGCATGTGCACTTGGCCGCACAGACTTGAGGAAAACTTCCTCGGGGCAACCTATCCAATTTTTGATGTGTATGCAGGAAGCAAAATCTTATGCTATGGATGATGTCTTTCATCATTCTCAATCAGCTAGAAACCATTTCCAGCCCAAAACAAAACTAAACTTGCAAAACTTCTCAATTGCCCCCTTCTGCAAAGTTCACTCAAGAACTAGATTTATTTATCTTCCAAATCCTATTCTCAAAACATGTAATGATGAAGCATGAGGTAAGCTACTTGAAATCGCCACAAAAACAGCAGAGGCTTAGACAGAACAGAGTAAACCAGCCATTACAATAGATAAAAGGGAAATTTACATACATACCAAACAAATTTCATGCATTTACACATCTAACACCCAAAGTTTGATATTTACGCTCATCACATCTTGGTGCCATAAACCTATGCATGAAAAGTTGTTTCACTTTTTAAAAGAGAGTAATGATGGTATTTTTTACGAGACTTTAAAGATTTGAGTGCTATGCATGTAAATATGAATGTTAAACTATTAGATATGTAAATAAATAAGAATTGTATGGTATTTATGTAAATGGCCCAAGAAAAACAAACGAAAGAAAGAAAGAAAGAAATGATATACCTCATCCAAGGATTTGTAATTGTCAGCTATCTTTGAGTACCTTCGGTCCAACCTAGGCAATCGGTGTGCCGCATTTGAAGAAGAAGAGGAATATGGCTGAGAAGGTTGAGGATAATTGGAAGGCTTTGGGTAGTAGTCCTCAGGCGGATAAGCATATGAAGCTGAAAACGAATGAGTGCGAGGGTAGTTCTCAACCGGCGGATCATAGCTTTGAGAAGGAGGATAATTCTGATACTGTGGCGTCTCGCTGAAATAGGGTGAGCTCCATGGGTGATCTTCGGAATGGTGGCCATATTTAAAGGATGCGGGGCGGCTGATGCGCCTCCTACCTGACTCTGACGAGCTTTTGCCCCCCATCAAACCCGACTTTTACAACACTTATCAAGCTTGGGAAGAAAAAGAAGAATGGAGAAAGATGAGGAGAGAAATGGGTAGATAATAAGTCTAAGACTTTGCCAGCACGAGCATATCAGATTTAGTTGAGAGGTTATTGAGGCCAAGTGAGAGATAAAGATGGCCGCCGCCGTAACAGTTGATGGTAGCAGACCAGGATAACCGAAGCAATGAATCTCCTCTTCCAACCATGAACCCTAAATCCTCCATGCCTGCATTTAGAAGAAGAAATGTTGAAATAAAGAGCGGAAAGCAAGTCAATTGCACTACCCAACACGCAGCCACCCACAATTTAGAGAGATGTAAGACTACACGCAAAGTTTTTCTTAATCCATTTCATCAAAAAAGGTGAAAAAATAAAACAAGAAGTATGATGTTAAAAAATCATGTCTGAAAAAAAAAAACAGCAAAGAAGTTCGCAAATCTGGCCTCCGAAAAAGCCTAGGTTTAGAGGCTGCAATTTTCTTGCTGATAAAAAGATGGGAAAAATGGAGAAGAGCAGCGAGAGAGTTGCATGGCGCGGTGCTTACCTGAGCTAGCTTGGAGATTCTACTGGAAAAGGAATGCTTTTGAAGAAAAGGAACTTGCAGTTCTCCGCCAGCACCGCACATGGCGGATGGAGCGCAGAAGCTTCAACTCCACCTTTGTTACCTCTCTCTTTCAACAAAATTGTACCTGCTAAATCATACTTTAATTAAACTATTTTAATACATAATTTTTAGGAAAATATGCTTATTTTTTCGCATTTTTTATAAATGTCTCAAAAAATATATTTTTAACAAGAATATGCCAACATACTTATAGACCTCCTATAGGCTATAGGAAGGATGTCTCACATTGTCAATATGACTCTAAGAAATATGATTTTCAATGTTTTTATAGTTAAATCATTTAGATGAAGCTCATACATAGCTCTAAATATAATAGCAAACATTATGTTTTAAACTTCTTAGAATGTGTTCAAATTATGATCAAACTTTTTTCAAACTATAATCTAATTTTATTCTAACTCAAATATGTTAGAGTACATGTTGGAACCATATTCAAATTATATTCAAATATTTTTTTAAATTATAATGAAATATTACTCGAACATTACAAGATTCTCACATATAGACTAAATTAAATATCTAACATTGTGTTCCAAACTTTCTCAAAACATGTCTTTGAACTTTATTTGAACCATAGTCAAACAACATTCGTGCATATTTAAATACATATTCAAACTATATTTTTTAACTAGTCTGAATCATAATCAAATTTTATTTTAATATGTTCAAATATATATTTGAATCTTATGATGTTCTCAGGCAGTTTGAACATGTTTAAGTCGTGTCAGAACATATTTCAAATTATGATTAAACAAGATGATTGTTTAGATACACAAAAACACACATAAATAAAGCTCAAATTTGACCGAACCATAATATACTCAAATATGTACATCTATAACAAGACAAGTTAAATGAATCACTTCTAAAAAAAGATAATAACTATAAAATGATAAGAACTTATTTTCATTATATTTGAACAATATTTGAACTAAGATTTATCATTATTTAAATTTTGATCAATATCACAAATATGACTTAATCATTATTTGAATCAATTCCAAACTCTCTTTAATCAATATCTAAATCATTATCGAATCTTTTTTATTAGTATTCAAATCAAGATTAAATCTTTTTCGATTATTATTTGAACTTTATTTTATCATCATTTAGATATTGATTAAACTTTATTTTTATCATTATTCATACCATGATAAAATCCTAATTGATCATTCATTGATCATAGTTTGAACCTTATTCAAATTATAATTCAAATAAGCCTCATATGTTTTAATCAAAAGTTCAATATATTTTGATCAAGATTAAAATGAGTTTCAATCAATATTCTCATAATTGATTATCGAATATTTTCTTTGATTTATAGTTTAGATTACAAATACACTTTTTAAACCTTAATAACCAAATATGTAACTTCATTAACCTTAAACAATTAACTAAAATATGGTTGAAAACTTTACAATTTTGTTGGTAAAATCATGACTCATGAATGAAAATCGGTGATGACAAAGGGGTCGACCAATTTCTTGTTTAAAGATTCTCTTATATGATGCTCGAGCCGACATTTAAATTTTAGGGGATTTTGGTTTGAAAATTAAATTTGTGTGTATTTTCCCAAAAAATTAAATATTGGGTATATTTCTCAATTTTTTTTTATTCGTCGTGTAAAATCAATTTATTTGTTTATAATATATATTGTGATGAATTATTATTGATATAATATTAATAAATTCATCCAATTAAGCATGAATCTTAATGTAATAATTGAATTAATTTAAAAAAATTTAGGATCTTGTGAAATTTGATTTTAGCTAAATTCAAAGTGAAATAAACTTTTCAACAAGATTAATCCAAGTGATCTGATTTGCTCCAAATGAAAATTGAGCACATAAAGCAAATTTGAAAACTTCATCACATTAACTTGAAAATCAAATGGCTTCTAAATTTTTTTTGTACATCTCTAGAAGAGAAATTCATTAAGCTTAGGATCGCTTGATTATGAAGTCGTTAGATCATGCAAATACTAAGAAAATGATCTATAATTAAGAAAATTAACAGTAGTTTTTTTTATGAAATGTTTTGAGATCCTGGCTAAAAGTATCAAATGTCATTCTCAAAATTATAAATAAACTTTCTTCACCACATGAAAAGGATCAAGATTTAGAGAGAAAAAAGTTTAGAGATACAAAAAACTTCAGGTCATATCCAACATTTACTACGTACCGATGATTATCACTAACAATCATCATCACCCGTTATTTATTGCTCGGTTCTTTTCATTTGATCATCACAGCTCATCTAACATTATCAAATAACCTTTATTTGATAGCCATTGTTTGAATATTACTGTCTAACAATTATTCTCTAACCATCATAACTCATTTGCTATAGTCCAATTATTGTAGTTCTTACGTCATTATACAATCATTTGCATCTCCTCTACCATTGTTTGACCCTCATTGCCCAACTATTATATTTACCTGACAGCCACAATCCCTTATCACCCATCAAAACTTCTCAAACATTCTAAATTACAATCGATCACAAGAAAACGAGCAAATGTTCTAAACTTTATAACATCTTTTTATCCAATTGAACTAAAGAGCAAATCTTTGCCCTCTTTTTATATAGTGAATCATTTCGACTAGATCGGACGTTTCAACTTTCTCTTCATATTTTTTTTTACATAAAAATCTTAACTTCTATTCAATAAACTTCTTTTAATTGTGTGTATAAGAGATTTTAATCATAAACTAAGACGTACAATATTCATTTCATTTTTACCAATATTTTAGCATGTAATAATTATATTTATTCACGATTTTGTCTTAAGCTTTTTCTGCATATGATAATATTATCTAACCCGAGTTAAATATAAGGTTAGCTTTTATGGGTAATGGGTTATCACTCATTTGAAGAGAAAGGCTTGCAGCGAATAGGATTAAGAAGATAAGTAACTTAATTAGAGTGCCACTTTAATTTAAATAATGATAAGAATGTAGGTTGATAAGTAACTTAATTAGAGTGCCACTTTAATTTAATTAATGATAAGAATGTAGATTTAATGAAAACGAAAAACACAAGGGATACAAAGTGTATTAAGAAAAGAGAGGGATGAAGAAACATTGTTGTGTCTTAGGTCACCTAATGGAACTTCAAGTTGAGAGCAGCAATAAATCTCAACCTTAACTTGGGTGACTACCAACTAATCTGATTGATTAAGGGTCTTTAGAAATTATTATCAAAATCCAATTCATGCCCCTCAATTCATATGTATATACATATCTAACACGTACACACACACACACACACACACAAATATATATATATATATATTTTTGCCCTTGCTTTAAAGGGATTTCTACTAAGAAATATCTCTCTGGGTCGGTCGGATAAGCTTAGTTGTCTTCGAATCAACAAGATCAATGATGCACCAAAACCGAACCACAATCACCGTGATCGTCGAATCACAGAGGCACGAGCCTCGTCACTCTTTAAAGAACTCCTTAAATTTTTCTCGCTTTTTTGTTTTTTCTGCCTGCGATCTACTTTGCTTTTATTAGAATATTAGGACTTAAAACCTTCTTTGCTACACTACCAAGTTAGGTTCATCGAATTCGTAAACTAGAGAATTTTCTGCATGAATAATTGTTAAACATTCCTTCGTGGGATCAATACACAGACTCTTAAATCACATATTACTTGAGCTTGTATTACAACACTCGGTAACCTCATTATTATGGAATGTAATCCCATGGGATGAGGGGTAATGTTTTGTTTAAGAAATGATTAACTAAAAAGGAGGTCAATAGAAGGTAATGGTGTGATACTGCTCAAGATCGTCTTAGATAGTGATTACCTCTCCAACACTTGGAAACTTTACAACCACATGATAGACTGAGGTGACAACCTAGAAGGAGAAGAGCTGAGGGTAGTCAAGGATGGCATTGTACATGGGTGATGAATTGACCACCAAGAATTCTACCATGTTGATGAATTATTTCTCCTTTTCTCCGAAAGTGATCGACAGAGCAATGGTTTCCAACGCTTCATTTCTCTCACCAGAGAATCCATAGAGCAAGCTAACAACCATTATTAGTCGATTGTTATCGAGACCCATTTTATCGAACACTGTTTTGAATAAGATATTCATGAATCTAGGAGTTTTGATGAGGGTGACACCAATCTGGTAGTTGTCAATCAATGCATTTTCAATGATGGTGTTGTTGTAAGGATTGCCCCTAGAGGAGTATCTTCATTGTTGAAAGTGATGAGAGGATGTGATCTTTATTTGGGAATATTGGAGGGTACACATTGTTCTCTCAACCAAATCCTCTTGAAACTAGCTCAGCTGGATGAGTTTCCATGTCATCCAAAGATTGCAAGAACTGTGTCAGCAATGTGGATTACATGGGCTTAAATTGGCTTGTCCAATATCATGGGCTTAAATTGGCTTGTCCAATATTTCCTCCACTTGAGGCTTACCCTACTGCTAGTTTGTTGCTCTCGATGCAACAAAATCCTTTAGTTTCTTTGCCTTGATCAACTTTTTGATGAGGCCTCAGAAGTGCAACATTCTTCCATGTCTGCTCATGGTCCCAATGGAAGACACTATAATTATTGGGATCCTTGAAGTAAGCTTCGATCTGCACCGAGTGGGCTCTCTTGAAGTAATTTTTATTTTTAATGACCTCCACTATCTCAGTCATCGATAGAGAGTACTCATTGTATCGATCCAGCCACTGGTCAGGGTACTGGTTCTGACTTTCTATGTGGTATGTTGTGTTGGTTACTCGTTGGTCCTAGGGCGGTTGAGTGTCTTCATAGCAAGGATGAGCATAATGCAAGAATCATGTCTCTGTCTCTACCCTACACCTTGGGGGGTCTGGAGGAAACAAGTTTGGAGCTATACTTCTCTATCGATATGTTGTTATTGGACAGCTCCAACTACTGACAAATGTCTTTGATCCATGTAGACGCAACATGTACCTGAAGGGTCCTTCCTTTGGCCTCTGAGATAGGGTAGCATGAGTAATTGTCGGCTTCAGGTCATGGCGGGCTTCAAGTCATGTACTTCCAACATCTCCTTCTTGA